CACTACCTTTGGTCGTATGTGCCTATTGACTCTTTGTTCTGATACATAACCTCTGTTCGTTTATACTTGTTTTCACCAAACTGAATCCTCTTGGCCGCGATCGCCATGAGCCGACTCCATTGCCTCTTGAGTCATCAGCTTTATGCCTTGTATGCACACAAGACCAGCGACTTGGACTCAGCCCATCACATTGCCATATCCTGTCTGATCCCTTTGGGCGCCTTCTCAAACCTTGGTCATTCTGAGTGCCAAGAGCCGTCGCACTGACGCGTGACGTAGGTGAATAGTACCGGATATGATGTGTCCAAACCAACAGGGCCGGACCAACAGACCTTCCAAATGTGGTGCCGCCGAAAAGAGCAGCGGATTCGTATCCAGACCTGGTTTTTTGATGCGACGTGCGACCAACAGCGTCCGTGAGACAGGCTTTTCAGACAGGGCCCTCCCTCCCTCTCCACATTCGCGAACGCACCTCGCAGGAACAAATCTCAATTGTGCATCGACATATTGAACACTATATACATTCAATTGATCTGAGTATCTCAGCATTGTGGTTACACACTTCCATTGTCCCTTATAACTCCTCCATGGCCAATCGAGACTGTCTAGTCTAAAGATGACGGGAGCGGCTCGCGCGGGAACCAAAGTCGATCAACAGGGGTATAGACCCATAACCCGGCGGCAATATTACCGGAGAATGTCCCAATTGGTGTCTTCTCTCCCCGTCATGGCATTAACCGAGTGGAGACATGAACCAACAACTGATCTGATCTTTCTGAGCAATCAACGTGCTGTTACATTGTAGAATCTGAGGGTTGGCATCCCATAAAGAGGCGGGGCAGCCCACAATCTATGCCGAGGCTCTTTGTACCTCAAACTTTGTAGTAATATTCTTGCTTGAAGATGGCTTCCCAAACTGCGCAGATAGCCGACGAGCGTCCTGAGGATGTCCCTGCCGTGCTCGAGGCAGAGGTAATGTTCCCGAAGCGGAGAGTGTATATGTGCTGATAGGTTGCCCAGGATGATGCTGCGGACAGTGATTCGACTCTAGAGCTCGGGTATGTCCACAGGAATGGACGCTTGCTAGTGTGGCTTACTGACACGCTGTTGCAGAGAGGGCACGTCTAGCTACCTTACATCCCTCAAATCGAGCATCTTTAGTTATAGGTAGGGTTTCAAACGACACTCGCCTTCATGATTGTTGGGCTAACCATATATAGATACGAGGTTAGCTTCATGGATTTCTTCAAATGACTTCTTTAACAATATAGTAGAATGGCCGTCGGTACCATGCCTTCCATGAAGGCACCTATCTAGTGGTTTGTACTCTCTCTGTGCACATCATCTTCCATTCTCTAACATGCCGTAGCCAAATGATGACGAGGAACAAAATCGAATGGACCTGGTTCATCACATTTACAGCCTTCTTACACAGGGAAGGCTCTATACTGCACCCATTCCCGACAGCCCGCGACGGGTCCTCGATTTAGGCACAGGTACTGGCATTTGGGCTATCGATTTCGCAGAGTGAGCGACCCTTTCCATTTTGTGACTAATCTCAGAGTTAATGGCCCTGGAATAGTGAGCACCCCTCAGCAGAAGTCATTGGAACAGACCTCAGTCCTATTCAACCTGAATGGTATGTTCAGCTCCATTGCACTTGTGAGGCAAACTGACAGCTTATATCTAGGACCCCTACCAACTGTGTATTCGAAGTGGACGACTTTGAAGACCCATGGGTCTACAAGAAGCCATTTGACTATATCCATGCCCGCGAGCTGGAAGGTTGCATCGCCAACGAGGAGCAGTTTTTCCAACGCACATTCGAAAACTTGAGCAGTGGTGGGTATCTAGAGATGAAGGCCCAGCGCGGATTCTTCATGTCAGATGACGACTCGATCAAGAAGGCTGTCAACGCCGAGGTCTGGGCCGAGGCTATGCGTGATAGCAGCAATAAGTTTGGCAAGCCGATTGACAGTGTGCCAGGGTGGAAGGAAAAGATGATCAATGCCGGCTTTGTCGACGTGCATCAAGAGATTCGCAAGGTTTGTCCATGCTGACTCCTATAGCTCAGTTGCTTTTGGCTGACAATTGTATAGATTCCTATCGGTGCATGGCCCAAGGACCCAGTGCTGAAAGAGGTCGGGAAGTGCCAGGTCGTTCAGTCCTGTGCTGCCATTGACTCGTATACACCTATGCTTCTTGGCAAGGTTATGGGATGGGGTCAGGAGGAAGTGCAGGTTCTCATGGCAAAGGCCAAGAAGGAGCTTCGTGATCCGTCAACTCATCTCTATCTCCCTGTCTACTTTATCTGGGGCAGAAAGCCTTGAGTGGAAACCGGAGACTTGCCTCGTGCTCAGGAGTTGGTCAGCAAGTAGGTAGGTAACGGAAGAATAGTTCTTAGGGTGCCAGAATAAAGTAGCCCAAGTGCTGGTCTAAACTAGCATAACATGACAAAGCTATTCCATCTCTTTTGCTCTCAGCGTTTTGTTCTTGTAGCACTAGCTTCAGCGTAAATACCAGCGTCTGGCAGTATCTCACGTTATGATATGGCACTGTTACACGAGTGGCGTTCTGGGCAAAACACGGATGCTTGCTTTTTCTTTGTTCGTTGCTCTTTCATTTCTCGTCAACTTTTTTCTCTCTTTCCTCCTCTTTCTTTTGCCTCCTCTGCTCTTGGAAGATCCAAGATCTTGGGGGAAAACATGACTAAAAAGTCTCCCACAGGTCGATCCGTGCTTCGCGCGACCACATCCAGTATAACAGACACCACCCCTGTGACTCCCGCACCGTCCAACAAGGCGGATAGGGATGACTCGCGAAACATAGTTCAGAAATGTTTCAGAAGAACTTACCTGCTTGCCGGGGCCTGGCCCTGGGAATGGCTGCGTCCCGATTTCACTCCCATACCCGAAGACTGGAATTGCAACAACGCAGAGGCAATGGCTTCAGTCGTAGAGCTCGTTTGTCGGCCAGATTCTTCAGTTGCTCTGAATGACCTTCGCCACTTACTTGCCGGCCTATGTAACAAGCGTAAGCAGCGCAATGGATCAGAGAATTACGATGTTACAGCTCTGGCTGCGGACTGTCACTTGGCTCAAAAATGGGTCTCACGGACACATCGAGATCCCGAATCTATATAAAGATCAACTAGGACTATTGTACATGGCTTTTGGACACCGCATTTCAATCATGGTGAGGAACACTGCGACGATCAAGCCGATTTAGAGGCAAGCATTGAGAACATCCACCAAGATCTTGAGAGCAACGTTCATGACGGTCCGATCGGCCTTGAACAAGGACTTCTAAGCCTTTGTAATAGTCGCTGCGTCAAAAAGAACCCAGCTCCTGTACTCCCGGAGCTGAATACTCGAAAGCGAACTCGACTCGCTCTTGGTCCCGATGACGACTTGGACACCGAACCCCAGAAGACTTCCAGCTCTCCGGATCTTGACACTAATCTTGAGATAAAACTAATTGTTAGTTATGATCTCCAACCTGATATGGAGTCGGTGCACTAACATTGTATCTTACCCAAGAAAGCTCTCGTCGAATCTCGATTAACCGACACATGTCAATTCTTCAAGAACGTATCGCGGGCATCGAGTCGGTTAAGAACATGTGTTTGGAGGAAAAAGAAAAGAAAAAAAGCAACGTGAATTGAAGCGTATCGATGAATACCAATCGCAAGCGCTCCATGATGAAGCTATTCAAGTACGCGATCTGGCAACGGATAGGCTCGAGAAGGCAGAAAAGTTCGCAGAGGTCATTCTTTCCGCAATTGTAGAGTACAGGGATGAGTACCTAAAGACACATGAGGTTCTCATTCACAGCCAGGAAGAAGTGATGAGAGCCGACAAGGCAGAGGAAGCTGCCCAGGCTGCCCTTGAAAGCTTGGAGAATGACTTAAAGGAAAAGAGGAGCACCAGGCAGAGGTCCGCGATAGGGTTACGAACTTGTAAATGGAGATTGATGGCTACGACTGCGATATCGCAGAGGATGAAAGGGAAAAGCAGGACCACTTCATCCAATTGGCTTCGCTGAATATCTTGTGCAGCCGCGACCTTCATACCGGTCCCATCGAGAAGCGGGACGCCCTTTTGTCTGCTTTGCATGATGTTCTCGGACACGTCACTGTTCAAGAGTAGAAGCTGCGTTTTCTCAATGTTTTGGGTGATGTGTCACGATATCTAGGATACAGTACAATGGCATGATACCAGGCATAAACAGTCCGGCTTCCTAGGGTGATCCTCAGGGCGTCAGAAGGAACGACCGCTAAAACCATCAGGGACGAAATAGTTTAGTTATCTTATGCTACTTCATTTTGACAACCTGAACCTTAGAGGACAATTTTTCTGTTGTCCACCTGGGTGATCAAAGGAGAGTTTCTGTACCTAACTGGATACTATGTACAAACTGGGGTATCAACTTCATAGTAACAAGGAAACAACATGGCCTTCCCGTCCTGAGCACCTCTTGTTCCCCCCAACAGTTCTGACGTGATGATGACCCTATCCTTGTGAGACTTGACATCTTCAGTCGCCAGAGGTACATTCTTCGTCTGCGACCTTTCCTCCATGATCTTCTGCAAAGCTCTGGTTTCGTACCTAGCGACATCGTCGAATGAGTCCGCTTCCTCCTCATCAAGTTGCCCGTCCCGCCTTCGATGGGTAGCAAAGCGCAAAGGCGTCCTGTTGGGCTTGACTTTGCGGACAAAATCTCGTCGTCGTGAAGTATATCGTTCTGATCTTGCGCTCCGAAAGTCCTTGGCCATCTCACTAAGTTCATGGACCCTTGCTGTTGCGAGCCCAGAAGGAGTGACATCGACGCGGGACTTCCAGTTACCAGGCTTGTAAGGATCGGAGGTCAGTAACTCAACGTAGTCTCTGATGTTAGTGTCTAGGCTGGACCCCGAGCCTGGGAGGACATGGTCAACGAGACCAAGGTCTTTGGCCTGATAGGCTGAGATGGGGAGCATGTCCCGCAGAATGCGCCTCGCGCCCTCTGGCCCGCACCGCCCGGGGTAGGACAAAGAGTGATACTCAGAACCATACAGGCCCAGAGCTCTGTAGGCAGGGTTGAGAACAGACTGGGAGCTCGCGATCACCACGTCGCAAGCTGTCGCGAGAGCCACTCCACCAGCAGCGCAATTTCCCCTCATCGCTGCGATGGTCATCACGTTTTTCTGGGGAAACACTTCGAGAAGCATGTGCACAACGTCATCAATGCGGTTGATGTTTCGCCACGACTCGGCTGAAGGGTCGGCACTTGCCTCGATAACATTGAGGGCGATACCGTTGCTGAAGTAAGAATCGCCGCCCATCATCACGATAGCTTTGAGAGACTCGACAGAAGCGACATACTCGAGGGCTTCAATCAGTCGGGAGCATTTGGAGGTACTCATGGCACCGTTGTAGAACTCAAAGTAGACAAATGCGACGCGCCGTTTGCCTGCGACGAGAGAAAAGTCAACCCAGGTGTCTTGACAGGTAGACCATGAGGCCTTGGTCCAACCGATCAGTGGTCGCAGTGAAGTTGAGTCGTTCAAAGTGCAGTGGTTAATCAGGCCGAGCTCAACAAGACCAGAGACAGCAGGCACCTTCGGCCAGAGCATCGCGTCGACCTTGCGTTTGAGTCGTCTGATATGAGTGATCCAAAGGCCCCGACCATCGCATGTAGCGACGCAGACCGCGTCGTCTCTGCATCCGATGATCTCACCAGGCTGGTGTTCGCAGTCCGCACTCCTTCCAGCCTCGATCATGCCCCCGTAGACATAGAGATTGACGTTGCCGAACAGTTTAGTCAGACAACCGGGCTGCGAGTCGGACGACCTGATCTTTCGGGATATGGTCTTTGCTGATTCCGTCTTGACGTCGAAGTTCCGGTCTGCCGCCCGGAGGAGCGGTCTGCAGTGTGTTGGTCCGCCGAGGAAAGGCTTTTGCTTTGTTACGGAGTGAGACTTGTACGAAGGGTTTGGCTGGAGATGCACTGATACACCGCAGACGTCAGGTATCTGCGGTAGGGAGTGTCGGGTCAAGGCCGTCGCGACGTTTGGGTCGGGATATCCGTTGGCTGCCGAAATAATGCGGTCAAGAGCAGCGAGTACTGCAGCGACAGCAGCTTGCGTGACGCGATCACGATAAAGTGTCGCCTTTGTGGTTCCCAAGTCGTCGATGTTAATCTTGAACTGTTCAAATGCCCAAACTGGACCGGCGTCCATCTCAGCGACAGCTTGTAGCACTGTGACACCCCAGTGAGAGCGACCGGTCTGACTCCAGGCCTGTGATTTGAGAAGTTCGGTAGAGTCCGACACGTTACCATCGTCACCCATCAGCACCCAGTCAAGAGCACTGGGGCCGGCATCACCTGGTGGTCCAGGATGAACGATGAGAGTGAGGTAGTTATCGTAGACCTCATTTGGGACGGCTGTAGTCAAGAATGGGCAGATGATGATGTCGGGCTGCACGAGGCTTGCTGCCTCGATCATGGCTGTGTCGGAGAGGGCATATTCAACAGAGACGGAGTGCGTTTGACTGAGATGCAAGAAGAGCTGTTGTGAAAGGGAGTTGTGCGCAGTGCAGAGGAAGAGAATCTTCATCTTTGGAGTGCACGGCTCAGATGGCGGAGTGGATATGTTACTCGGGGTACTAGAGAAAATGTGTGAGCCCATATTGAGGAACTTGAGTGTTGTGTTTGCTCGGATCTTCATTTCGTGCAGCGGTTTGTCTGTGTATAAGTAACAGTTCTTATATGAAGTGAATCACAGCAGGTTGCGACACCATAAATGATAGCTGCCTGCTGTGAATCACAGCATCATACACCGGCCAGTCGAGAAATCCTCAGCTCTAAACAGATTCATTTACGCATGACACCCATCACGACCGTTCTTAGTGGCAGCTAACTATCGACTTGTCTTAGAACTAAACCATCTTTGGCCAACGTTTAATGACAATCTTCGACACCACTTTCTTTTTAAAGCAGAGGCGGCTGAAGACAAGAGTTTACACTAATTTTTACTGGCTGCCCTTTTTCTACTGTGCCGGATTGAGTTTCGATAGCCCTCGAGTTATGGCCCCTTGCCGTTGGCTTTGACCCGTGCGTTGGGCTGTTGGTTCTGAGATTCGGTTGTCGGAATAAAGGGAGCAAATTGTCCACCGCAAGTATTGTGAGCTGACTGGTCTTTTTCGTCAGTCGTTTTGACAGTCGGTTCTTGCACGCACCTCACCGCCGGTCTTGCCTTTTGTGTGAGTGATTGATATCGCCTTCATGAGCTGATGTGGTGTCTGTCTTCAACTTTGGTCATGATCGAGACAGTCGCCGATTGTTATCGGCATGCCTGGTAGCTGCCAAGATGGGTGCAAACTCATCCCTAGCGAGGGTCGAGGCTCAAATGTCTCAGCACAATTTGGTCCAGATCAGTAGCACGGGCTGTACTTTACAGTCACTGTCCCAGAGGGATACTTTCAACGAAAAAGGAGGTTACTTGCGCATTCATTCATGTAGCCAGTCCTAGTCGTTCAGCTATTGCAGAGTGATGATGTCAAACCCAATCTTAAGGTCCGAGACGGCTTGGACTGGTGGATGCTTAGCTCGTGGATCGTCATCAGCAGATGGGAGGATTCTCTGTGATAAGATAAGAGATAAGGTTCGTGATAGTCAGGGCCAGGCACAAGCTTACGGAGCTTGAGTAAATCCGACAGAGTGGGGCTGTCATGTCAGCTGAGACTTCTTCCTTGCGTTGGCGTTACCCTGAAGCCTCGAAAATGTCTCCATGGCGTGATAACACAACGTGTCGCGAACGCCGTTTTGACCAAGGATTATCTTAGAATGAGTCGAGAAATCAGTGCCAACAATTAAAAACATGTTGATCTGGACTTTTTGGCTGAAGAAACACAGCATCTAGATTGTAACACCTGTTTTACTCCAGGCTTATTTTAAGCTTTACCTCTGATATTGACCATGTTGGATGGGTCACGGGTGGAAGGAAAAACCCGACTCATACCACCACTTTACTGAAGCCAACCATTCACAATGAGACCTTCGCCATCGCCAGTACTTATTCTCACGCATCCACCACGATCGCCAGCTCAGCTCTCTTGGTGCACGATAAAAGGTAAGGATTAGAGGGGCAAATGACGAGAAGGCACAAAAAAACTAGTCACACAGTGAAGGGGGTTAATGTTGAAGCTTTTCTGTCACAACCCCGCGTCTTCCTATCTTTTTGCGCACTATTGACAAGCCGTCGCGCTCGGCTGAAGGTGCATTTCAGTGGCATGGCATCACAGTGATCACACCATCCCCATCGCCTCAAGAGTCTGGAGCAATCTTCAAGTCTTGGAAGCGACATCGGGCAAAACATCGACGTGGCTACGACGTTGGAAATGATATTTCCACAACGGTTGGTACCTAGGCTCAGACGCCACAGAACATGGTCGGCTCGCGTTGTGGCTTCACGGTTGTTCTTTACTGGCGTCGCGACCGGAATCGCCGATAAGATAAAGGAGGAAGAGACAGAGTGTTTGACGAAGGCGGAAGCATTCCGTAGCCTATCACATCGAGGTTTGGATGATGAGAGACACATTAACATGATGAGGCGATCGATAGCGCATGAACAAATATCCGAAGCTTATCCGCTCCGCCCGAGCCAGCTGGGATGACTAATATAGACTGCCAATCATATCCTCTCATGCTTTGGAATGCCAACGCTTTATTACTGCCACAATCTCAGGTGCTATTGCTGTGCGCTCGACCCATGATATCGTCACTATTGATCATAGGAGACTTCAAGTATCTATATCAACAAAAGTCCTCATAGATTACAGTCTATTCCATCATACATAATAAGCATTGAGCACTGAGCATGCCCGCAAGTCCGATAGTCAACGAGCTATTGTCTTCAAGAACTCGATCATAGATCATTACCCTACAGAAGACTGACAGCATCTGAGTCTTTTTCAAAGTGGGGGCCCACCACCGGCAATTGCAGCAAAGTTCACGCTGCACAGTGCCAAAGGTTAAAGTCCGGTCCTGGTCAGAGGTACATTGCTGCCTCGTATCCGCTCAACCTTGTTATCCCATCTGCATCACTGCAGTACAGAGTCGCAAAACCATCAATCTGCGACAGAGGCCCAACACACCAACGTTCATCTGATGGCGGGTAATTGATTGAGACCTGTCGTTTGAGGCAATCCCTGTTGATGAGCCTTCATTAAAACGGAAATTATGATTAGAAAACGGTACCAAGGACGAGATTGTCTAACGGTGAAAAGATTCGGGCAGGGGGCTTGAGCGTAATCACTGGCGGAAATACCGTCGTTCCGATGGGGCGGATTCCACTAAATGTCCGGACCTAGCCGCTCGCCTAGAACGCTACCTTGCTCACGGTATTTTCCCCGGTTGCTACCTGCCCCTTTCCCATTGTCAACGGAGGTGGATGATGGAGAGGAATTTCTAGTGCAGATGAGATCCCCAGATTTAGTACTATACTTGGAACACAGGGTGGACATTTTGGCCCGTCTGTTGTGTTGGGCTGAAGTTGCTTATCGCAAGAGCAGGAAAAGTTTCTTCTGTAGCTCCTGCGGTAAAGATCGACGGTTGTGAGCACCTTCTTGTTTGATAGAGAGATTAATCATCTGTACATAAGCTCAATGGAAGTCTTGGCTTAACATTTCCATTTCCCAAGTGCAGGGGATGGAAGGGAGCTGGCCGGTATGGGGATCAACCCTTCCCAGCCGCCAGGTTTCTATATCGTTGGTTCAATATCATGAAGATCTCACCGCTTAGTGTTGACAGATATGTGTATCTAAACAGATTGTACGGAGCATCTTGAACGGCACGTTCCTCTGTAGAGATCTGTTTAGCTGTCTTGCGTAGCGGTGAACGTTGTCCATTGCCACTTGTCAATCGGCGAAATGCCAGGGACGCATGTCGAAGAATGATGCAGCGGCAACCCAGATATTACAGGGATGCATACTATTGACACTCGAGATTTCCCGATGAGTCCTGGACCATCTGATGTACATTAATAAATGGTACGTTAAGAAAGAAATTATTCCGTGTAATATGATGTTCAGTATGGTCTGGAGTTGCATTCTGGAACATCCAGCAGATCACGCGTTGTTACCGCGGGTTTGACATGTTCACGATTGGTGCCTTTTGCGATCATTGAAAGTCCGGGCGTCATTAGAAGCTACTGCATGGAATTCTTCGGAATCGCATACCCATTGATCTTACAGGCCACAGTCGATAAGCTTAACTGGAGCCCCTGCCAAGACCCCTGATGTGGAATGTGCTGACAACGAATTCAGGTGCAAAGCAAGAATGTCATAGCACTTTGCAAAACCATTGAATGTCGAATTTCAAGATAGAGTCTAAGCGCCGATTACCAGATCAAACTCAATGCATGACGTTGACGAGCAGTTCGCAACCATTTCCTCACGGCGTCAGCATTTACTTCTTTCGTGATGCTGAAACCATAAGCGCCTCGTGTGCAGCAAGGTCATGTCACTTTCTTGGATGTTACCCTACAGAAACAAGTTGACACAATGTTTACTTAAGCGGGCCGCCTAACCGTCCAAGAACTAAGAACCAAGGCTGTAGATTCCCCATTCGAGGTCGTCGTAAGAAAAGCAGACTAAGTTTGACTAAAGATGTAGTGAATCTGTCACCGTACGCTCGGATCAGAGACATGCAGTGCTTGACTGCACCAAACGCACAGTCCAGAAGCTAACTTTGGCATCAGTCAATGCCGTCTTTAATCGCAAAAGTTACTGTTTCGGTATCGGCCCATTGTCTGGCAACCTTTAGATCAGACGTGCTCACTATGGTTCATCCCGTTGTGGGGAGCTGGCCTAACGGTAGCCTCGAGCCTTAGTTTCATCGTTTGAACTTGTCATCGGAGGAAAAAGAAAAACAGGAGTCTTGGCAAATGATTGACAGGTACACCCGTTGAGAGAAAGGAGGGATTGCAGGGGAGAAGCGCCACGAGTCAACTTGAGGAAGGTCTTGCAGGCTACAAGCATTACAGACAGCTCTCACAGTGATTATTGAGACTAACCATTACCTACACGATACCACAAAGGATAGATTATGCTTTAAAGTTGACAGCTGTGTGGCGGTCAGCTTGAAGTTGGAGCCTTGAAAGCTAAGATCACCAACTAGGGGCTAGCTCCACTATCCAAGATTCACGACTTCGTTTCCAGATCCCTGTCGCCAAGAGCCGCAAACCCCCCTTGACCGAAATTAGCGTTTCATGGTCTCGTCTTGAATGTTGTCCCCGCCTCGCGCCGCGAAGTTGACAGTCGCTTGGGTCGTAAGATTTTGGGAGGGATCGGGGGGTCCTCAACAGCCTCGAGTCTGCGATGCATTCAACGATAGCGCAGTGGCGTCTGTCACGCCAAGAAACCGTTTACTTTTTACTTTTTTGGGCTTCATGCAGTCAATCACCATGTTTTGAGTTGGCAGATAAGAATCGAGTTAAATTTTATGTTTCTTTTTAAACTTGTTTATTAGGGGCCAATAGGCGAAACCTGAGATCCCTGGTAGACGTAACTTTAGTTAAATTAAACACCGTTGTTGATTGGTGCGATTTTCAACGTCCACTGAAACAACCCCTAGACTTGGTGGTTACCGCTCGCCGCACTCTGTAACAGGGCTTTACGAGACGAGGGGCAGTGGAAAAAACATTGCTAAGATTGGCCGGGCTAGAGCAACCTGCCAGGGTTTCTGCACGATGGGGATGAATGTTTTCTCTTGAACGTTTGATGTTGAGTAGATTGGGGCAAAACGGATGAATTCTGGTTCTGGTTCTGGTCTAACTCCCCGGCATAGTATAGACCCCTGCCAAATCTGTCAAAGAATGGCAAGACAACTCGTGGTCCAAAATCTATAAAGGCATCTCGTTCTCCGGGCTCTTCTCAACTTTTTCCCTTCTCTCCATCAACAGATCTTCATCTTTCTTTCATTCACTTCAGTCTTTCTTTCGAAGAGCTAGTCTCTCGTTTCTTTCGTTCACTACAATCACGAGCCAGTCTCCAGCAAACCAAGCAATTTTTACTATCCTCAACCACCAATCTTTCAAAATGAAGTTCTCTACCATCGCTCTCGCTGCCCTCTCGCAGGTCGCTTCTGCCCACTACTTCTTCGAGGTTGCCACCGTCAACGGCAAGGACTCTGCTCCTTTCCAGTACATCCGTGACTTCACCCGTGCTACCAAGTACAACCCCATCAAGTTCTCCTCCAACCCTTCCGCCGATATCCGCGACAACTCCTTCGCTGATGGTGAGGACATCATCTGCAACCAGGGTGCCACTGGCACTGGTGGCAAGACCGAGGTTGCCGATGTCAAGGCTGGTGATGTGATCACCTTCAAGCTCGGAGTCGGTGGCAAGATGGGTCACCCCGGACCTACCCTGGCCTACATGTCCGACGCCGGTGGTGATGTCAAGTCCTACAAGGGTGACGGTGACTGGTTCAAGATCATGGAGGAGGGTGTCTGCAACGCCGGTGGTGACTTCACCAAGGACGCCTGGTGCAACTACGACTCTCCTTCCGCCGACGTCAAGATCCCCGAGGGTACTCCCTCCGGCGAGTACCTCCTCCGTGTCGAGCACATCGGTGTCCACCGATCTCACGTCAACCAGCCCGAGCACTACGTCTCCTGCATGCAGGTCAAGGTCGCTGGTGGCTCCGGCAAGGTCGATGCCGAGATGGTCAAGTTCCCCGGTGCCTACAAGGCCACCGATGACTACGCCAACTTCTCCATCTACAACGGTGCTAAGGCCTTCCCTATGCCCGGTCCCAAGGTCTGGGGTGGAAGCACCTCCGCTGGTGGCGCCGCCCCCGCCGGTGACAACAACTCCGCCGCTCCCTCTGGTGATGCTCCCGCCGAGACCCCCGCCCCCGATGCCGGCAACGGCCAGCAGGGTGAGGCTCCCCAGCAGGGCGGTGCTCCTCAGCAGGGCGCTCCCCAGCAGGGTGGTGAGCAGCAGCAGAACAACGGCCAGCAGGGTGGCTTCCCCGGTCAGCAGCAGGGCGGTTTCCCCGGTGCCCAGGCCAACAACAACGGCAACTCTCCTTGCTCCGCTTAAGCAACTTCTTTGAGGATTCGATTCTTGTTTGGTTTTAGATGTGGAATGAACGGAGGACCATGAAGTGGAGGGAAGAAGGTGATGGTTTCTGGTCAACTTTCATGTATAAAAGAGTCCTGTTGATCGCATCAAGTTTTATAGCTAGATGAAGAAGGGGATGGTCTGGTACTGTGCTCGTTAGTCATTTAGTTTTGCTTAATTAATCTGAAGCAATCTGAGGACAAAAACTCATTTCCCCTTCCGCTCTGTGATGTGTTTAAAAACAATATTTTCGCCTTCATCATTCTCAAGTATGAATAAACCCTTCAGCTGACAAGCAAAGGCTGTTTTGTTTCTGAATTCTAGCTGCTAAAGTCAGCTAGGCTTTCCTGGCATACACTGTTACCGTCCAAATCCTTTTCTATTTAAAGCGTACTACCTGATCGCTATTGATTTGTTCAAGGTCCAAAGACCTGTCACCTGCAATCGGGGTGTCGGCAGAACTAGCCGCCAGTAGCATAAGAGATGGAATAATTGAGCCACATACTTCCAACATCTTTACCATGTAGTAGTGGCTGAAGTTGTGACGTCAGGGTGTAAGCAGAGTAAGCAGAGGTCTGCTTATCTGACCGTGAATTCTAACCTCAACATCGTGAACAACCTACCTCCTCTTTTAGATACTCGCTGCTGAAACCTTCCGAGCCAAAAAGACTCCCATTACGCTGCAATGTCTCAATCTGAACCCAAAAAGTTTGATCGAATTACGGTCTTGACAAACCCGTCTCTCAAGGAGGTTTACGACAAACTCACCGACCTGGCCAAAGAGTTTGCAGTACTGGGCGAGATCGAAACCACCAGGGAGCTGATATCACTGCTCCTGCGGGACACTACTTCCGATTGGCAGCGCTGGCAGATCAAGTGTTTTGAACCATTCTTCGCAGTAGCCAACCGATGGCCCGACGAGATCCTCGAGGAAGATAGAAGCGAGAAAACATCTACCAAGACTACGAGTGAACACTCGTCGACGGACGAGAATACGAGCGAGGAAACAAACGATGAGCAGCTATTCCAAGAAAAAATAAGACAGGCGAGGGATGACAGCGTTCCCTTCGGAGATGGAAAGCGAAGCGCTGCGGCTGTTGATGCTCTTTGCACCGCCTTGAAGTTGGCGTTGAAGCAGAGCGATGATATGCAGACGATTAAAGATGAACTGAAAGTTCAAGAAGCCCTTGAAATCATCGGAAAGAACCTCCATAAAAGTCGGATGCTTTCGCTGCTTGCAGACCGTCGTGAATTATGTGAGCTGTTGTCTATTGGGGAGTTGGCACGGAAAGTCCCCATTGACAAAAGCAAACTGGAGGCTACCACGAAAAAAATCATTGAGACATTCTACGAGCGCCTCAACCATGGTCGGCAGAAACATGAGATAGAATACAAGCCGCTGAAGGAAGTTCTTCTTGAGTTGGAGCGTCATACTAAAACCAATGCTGTGGACCATTGGGAGGAAATGGAGGAGCCAGTTCCCGAAACACTCTTCGTATTGCCACCAGCCACCGATGAACAGATCTTGTCTCTCGAGAAAAAACTCGATGTTACTTTACCGGACGACTATAAGGAGTTCCTAAAAATCAGCAATGGCTTTGGACAAACTTGGAACGGCTACCATCTTGACAACGCCCTGTACGGAGTTGACGAAATCGACTGGGCCGACGAGGATTTAGAAGTCCCCTTCGTTGAGTTCCACGACAGCATCTCAGGTGTTACAGAGCTCAGAATCACCGAAACGTCTAGACCTGAATGGCCAAGCTCAGGACCAACCCTTGAAATCGGATCTTATGATGTACTCTCCACTCTTATGATTCCTCCCAAGGGGACAAAGGTGATTCTAGACGCATACCAAGAAGCGCTAGATGACCCCAAGATCCCAGACGACCCAAAAAAGCAAGTTCTCAAGAGTATCGAAGGTAGGCATGGGAGTTTGGAGGAGATGATGAAGCTTGAGTGGGCGACTATCGAACAACAAGATTCCGACACGCTTCCATGCGGCACATTCAGACAGTGTCTGGAAGAGCGATTGCGGAGGGCCAAGAGTGGACCATACTGTTATGAACTGGAGGGAGAGTTGGGGGGTATTGCTTACCACTGCAGGGCTGATGGTTCTTGAACTCGTTGATATTATCGGGCACATGTCACACATGAAGACACAGGGAGATTGAGTTATGAGAAAGGAAGACAAGACTGTTTGCTGTTTAAGTGATGCCTAGTGTGAATACTCCAATGAAAGATCCTACCCATGATATCTGTGCAATTTAGCCCGTGAAAGATGCCGCCGCCGATGAACCCAATGCCTGTTTTTTCCGTTTTTGCAACTCCTTGATCCGTCCGATTGTTTACCTAATCAATATTTCCGCCCAGGTTTCCGTTTTCCCCCGTTTTTTATTAAACATAATACTATTTTTACGCTATTGTCATGGTTCATGTAATCCTATGATGGCGCAGCTACGGTCAAATGTAGCCAGCTACATGACAGCGCAGCCGCCACCTGCTTTATCTGCTGGTGAAGAGCTTCTCTTCTGTCGGTGCCCACTCTTTGACTGAGTGGGTCTTGATGATCGTTGATCATGAGTCTTGCTGCCGTGCGTCGAACGCTGGCCGTGAGACTTGCTGGTGGTATGAGTGTGTGTGGTTGAGCCCTTACCATAGGCATGTGAGGTGGCCTTGGAGGTGTGTGTTGGCCCTTTGCCATGCGTATGTGTGGATGAGCTCTTAGGGTATGCCTTGCTGGTATTTGCCAAACCCTTATCGTAGGCAATGTTTGGACGGGGGATCTTGAGCCACCAGCAAATCTCCGCCTCGATATTCACCAAGATGGCCATGAGTCTTTGTTGGTATATGCTGAATGAGAACGATCGGGTAAGGCTTGGCTTCATAGAGTTGACTTTCGACAGCGGGTACAGTAATTGACTGTTGATCTCGTCCCGGTAAAGTGGCAAGTTCTTGGCTGTTTATCATGTTAGCTCAGGTGATTTGAGTATGGTATGATGGGCAGATACATACGGGCAAGGTCTATGAACTTGGCTTGGTATTTGGCAGCATTGAACAGAGCAGTGAAGGTGTTTGCACCCCGCACGATAGTATCGCACATCTTCTTCTTGTCGCTCTTGAGCTTCGTTCGATCTTTGTGTTGTTTCGATAGCTTGATATCGTCGATGGCATCGACAACATCGGCCAGGTAGTTGATAATCTCGATCAAGACTGCTCTCCCCAATGAATCGCTGTACCCGCTGGGGCCGTTTGCTCGACGCGGGATACGCTCGACATGGCGAGGGAAGTGAATGTTGTCGCTTGTTCGTCCCATTGTGAATGATCATTAGAAATGTGTAATAAGTGGTTGAAGGAGGAAGAGAGATTAAGCATTATATTAAGAATAAAAGCTGAAGTGAATGAGGAGATTGGAGTACAAGAACGGTCTGGGGAATGGCGGCCACCTGTCTTTATAGCTAGTTCGTCTCTTGGATTACAGCTGTCATTGCTGGCGTGGAGTGAGTCTTTGTTGAAGTGGTGGTTTATACATGGAGAAGCTCTAAGCAAGGATGCCAATTAGAGAGGTCATATCTCAACCAGCTACGGTTGCTAACGTAGTGGAGTGTGTAACGCGTACAAACGGGTCGCTTTGACCGAAATAGTGGTTTGCAGCCTGAAGAAGCCAACAAATCAAGACCTGACGCGGCCAACATGCCATGAAGAGAGGGTCCAATTGACCAAACAAGACTTGTGCATGCCTAACAAGTGGATTTTGAACAAGAGGGTATGCTACCCGAAGCTAAATGCACTTGGCCTGCATGCAGATGCTACAGGACTAAGGCAAGGCAAATGCATCTGTTTTTTTCTTTGTGCATCCGGCCCGTATAGAGTGCCATTCTTTCCCAACAATGCCAGGATCTGGAGATGCTTCTTGACATATGGATTCAATGATTGACGATCCGGCTCGATATTTTGTGGTGCCAAAAGGCTTGACTGTAGAGGATTCCTGGCTCTAGACCCGGCAATCCTGGTCCACTATGCGCCCAAGAGTGGAGAGATACACTTGGAAGGCCTCGATTTGAGGCAGGGCCCAGAGTTAAGTTAGTCACTTTTGCATTGCTGCTTGCTGGTGATGTGATCTGGACGAATCATGTTACGTGGGTGAGCCTCGATAGCCGCAATTTGCATGGGAAAAAGAATGGTTGTCGTGTGCTAAAAAGTTTTGCTGTTACACAACCAAGACAACTTGACGGGCAGCCACAGGCGGTTACAGTGGCTACAGTGGACTACAGTGGATCAGCCCATGCTGTATAGCTGTTGTGCATGAGTCAAAGGCCACGAACATGTCTAAGTAAGAAACGGTCAGGTACAAACCAGTCGACAACTCATAGAAAATGCCCATTATGACTCAGTCTCATGTTTCGTTTAATGCGCCATTGTGCTGTTCAATTGTCAAATTTTCTGTAACATTTTAGACTACCTGTTATCTTGTGCGCTGTCCTTGTTACACTCGCCAATTCTCGCTTCGTCTTTGATGCGTTGTCTTCTCATAGGCCAACTGCGCCGGGCATTTGCTGTCCAGTCAAGACTGTCGGGGGGCAGCCGACATCCGTCAGACCAGAGATCAGCAAATTCATGTGCATATCTCTCGCATATTTATGTACGCTTGAAATGTTTACATAAAACATCTGCATTGAGCGATTCAGTCTGGCTCCAATTGCCCCCTCCCCCTCCTTCATCGCAATCCCCCTTGCATGAAATCGCTGATCTTGGTCTGCCATGGTGATTTTTGCCTAAAGAGAATAAACTTTGAGTTTGACGGTTCCTTTTATGTTTCAAGATCAGCATTGACAACTGGGAAAAAGCAACTTCACATTTCGGAGAGATTGCCGAGGGAATGTCATTCTTCCTCGAGTGATTGACAAGAGTCTTCACGTTATACCAAGACTGGACAAGGACTGAGCCCGGCCCTTTTACCCCAAGTTAGTATCTCAAAGCCGATTGATGGAGTAATGGTCCGATGTAGATCTTCCCCAAACTCCCGCCCAAAGGCTAATTCAATCAGCCTGAATGGGAATTACCTCGTCTTGGACATAGCCAAGATTGGTATCGTGAAATAAGCCATAATATAAGTTTATAAAGTCGCTCACCATTGCTATGGAGGTAGCCACCTCTGTTGACTTCCTCTTCAACTTGGTGCAATCCCAGTGATAGTCTCCCTACCATGAGGATCTCAACTCTCCTCCTCACCTTCTCCACCTGCGTCCTTGCAGAAGATGGCTTGGACGGTTGGCTCCGTTATGCTCCCCTGCCAGCCCACAGCATCTCTAGCCATGCCAAATCCTTGCCACGCAAGATTCGCGTCATCGGCGGCTCCAAAAACAGCCCACTAGGAAGTGCCGTGTCTGAGCTGCAGAAGGGCTTCAGCGGCATTCTCGACATTGATCTGAAGACGGCAGACAGCAAGAAGACTTGCGATTTCGCAAAGACTATTGTTGTTACCACTGTGGACAACCTCGACAAGGCATGCGGCAAGCAGAAGCACCCTGAGCTTGAAGATGACGGATACTGGCTCAGCACATCCGATAACTCTGTCAAGATCATTGGCCAGAATGAACGTGGTGCTCTCTACGGTGCTTTCGAGTACCTTTCGATGCTCGGCCAGGGCAACTTCAAGCATGTGGAGAAAGCTTCCAACCCCAGTGCGCCCATTCGCTGGGCTAACCAGTGGGACAACCTCAATGCCAGCTCGACCCACGGTTCCATCGAGAGAGGTTACGGAGGCCCTTCCATCTTTTTCGACGGTGTCAAGAACGTTCGAAAGGATCTTTCCCGGGTTCCTCTTTTCGGCCGTCTTCTTGCATCTATCGGCATCAATGCCGTTGTGATCAACAACGTCAATGCTGACGTGCGTCTCTTCAACAAGGAGAATCGAGATGGTCTCGTTGAGATCGCCGATCTCCTTCGACCTTGGGGTGTCCAAGTCGGTCTTTCGCTCAACTTTGCTTCCCCCAACGTGACCGGCGATTTGGATACTTTTGATCCTCTCGACAAGAAGGTCATCAAATGGTGGCATGATCTGACTGATGGACTCTATGAGCGCATCCCCGACATGGCCGGTTACCTGGTCAAGGCCAACTCTGAGGGCCAGCCTGGTCCTCTAACCTACAATCGTAAGTTGTTCCATTCGCACAAGTCTGGAAGTTACCGATAGCTAACATCTGAAAGGCACACTGGCCGATGGCGCCAACATGTTCGCCAAAGCCCTCGAACCTCACGGAGGAGTCGTCATGTTTCGAGCTTTCGTCTACGACAAGCTTGACTGGACCGATTGGAAGGCGGACCGTGCCAATGCTGCTGTTGAGTTCTTCAGTGAGCTCGACGGTAAGTTCGACGACAACGTTGTGGTGCAGATCAAGTACGGTCCCATCGACTTTCAAGTCCGAGAACCTGTCAGCCCTCTTTTCGCACACCTTCGAAACACCAACAGTGCTATCGAGCTCCAGATCAGCCAGGAGTACCTTGGACAGCAGTGCCATCTTGTCTATCTGCCTCCTCTGTGGCGAACGATCCTTGACTTCGATATGCGCATCGATGGTAAGAAGTCCAACGTCCGCGACATCGTTTCCGGAAAGGTCTTCAAGCGCAAGCTTGGTGGTTATGCCGGTGTTACCAACGTCGGACTTGACAAGAACTGGTTGGGAAGCCATCTATCCATGTCCAACCTCTACGCCTTCGGTCGCATGGCTTGGAACCCTCAGTCTGACCCCCAGGAGATCCTCGAGGACTGGACTCGCTTGACCTTTGGCCTTGACAACAAGGTCCGAAAGGCCATCACTGAGATGTCCATGAAGTCTTGGCCTGCGTATGAGAACTACTCTGGCAACCTCGGTATCCAGACTCTGACCGACATCCTCTATGCTCATTATGGACCCAACCCTCGTTCGCAAGACAACAACGGTTGGGGTCAGTGGACAAGAGCCACACGGGACCATATCGGCATGGACCGAACTGTCAAGAACGGAACTGGTAACGCTGGACAATACCCTTCTGAGGTCGCCGAGCGATATGAGAACCCTGAGACAACCCCAGATGACCTGATGTTGTGGTTCCACCACGTCCCTTACACCCACAAGCTCCACTCTGGCAAGACTGTTATTCAGCATTTCTACGACGCCCACTACAAGGGAGCCGACACAGCCCAGACCTTCCCCAAGCTTTGGAAGTCGCTCAAGGGCAAGGTTGACGAGGACCGTTTCAAGCACGAGCTGTTCAGATTGAACTACCAGGCTGGCCACTCCATTGTCTGGAGAGATGCCATCAACGAATTCTACCGCAACCTCTCTGGCATTGCCGACACTCATGACCGAGTTCGAAACCACCCTTACAGAATCGAGGCTGAGAAGATGGATCTGGACAACTACCACCCCGTCAACGTCACTCCCAGTGAAACAGCCTCAAAGTACGTTGCAGTGTACACAAACGGTACGGGTACAGCCACAACCAAGCTCAACTTCAAGAAGGGTACATACAACCTTGCCGTGAACTACTACGACATCGTCGATGGTAAGTCCACCTGGTCTGTATACCTCAACAAGCGATTGGTTGGCAAGTGGACTGGCGACAATGAGGAGAAGCTTGGACACTGGCCTAGCGAGTTCCTCGATGGCCACTCTGCTGCTCGGTTGACCTTTGAGGGTGTCAAGATCAAGCCTGGTGATGAATTGACTATTATTGGAAAGGCTGATGGTAAGGAGACGGCTGCGTTGGACTATATTTCAGTCTTGCCTGAGGGTATTGTGGATTAAGACCGTTATTTATTCGTTTGTATATACTTTTGATCACCTCTATGAAGCCTGCTGTTGGGCATTGAATATGACTACGATTAATTCCAAATGTCGTTTGTATCTTGTATCGTGAGAACATTATTATGTTCTGGACATTCTCACGATCAACGGCTGATCGCTTACCAGCCCAAGAGGAACTTAGAGGGATAGCCAAACTGTAGTGTCCTGAAGACTTAGTTTACCACGACACGCTGATCTTGACATGCCTCAAGGCATCGGAAGAATTGGCTCCTGGAGGCAGAAGAAATGAATTAATTTGGTCACTTTATGCTAGTTAGACTAGCACTTGGCCTACTTTATCATGGTGGCCTAAGCCTTGATCCTTCTGTTACCCACCTGACATGCTACACATTGTTGGAGGTTTAACTTGGTTCATGATAGCCAGAGTCTCCAGTACAAGCCAAGATCACTACTACAGATACATCCAATCTATAAACGTTGATATCAGGAGAAACTTGCATTTGGCGATTCACAGTTTATTCCTGGGAGACAGAGCGTAGTTCAAAGTCGTGAAAGTCAATTTTGCGTAAGTACTGGGCTAAATATATACGGAAAGAATATTGAAGATCCAGAAATGACTGGCAATCGTGTCACAGTCCTCCCCATCGTCCTCGGTGATTGTTGTTCTTGGCTTCACCACCGTGGTCACTGCAATTCGTTTACAGGAAAGAGGGGTTGGCGTTCTTGAGGAGCTGCTCGAAGTAAGCCTGGAACCAGGTTCCAGCCTCAGGAGCGGGCCTAGAAATTGGGTTAGCTTGATGTTCAATTGGGGAGATATGACTTTGGGACTTACTTGACAGCGTTCTCGATACCGCAGTGGGAGTCGTAGCGAGCAGCAGAAGAGTCAGAAGTACCATCAGACTCGCCACCGGGCTTGACCCAGACGAAGGCATCGGCAAGAGGGTCACCAGTGTTGGGAGAAGGTCGGAGACCGAAACCAGTTCCGGGAGCGTTGCACCAGTTACCCTGCTGCTTCTGGCCAGTAGGCTGCTTTCCGGATCGGCCCTGGTCGATGATGAACTTGGCGTTGGGCCAGCCCTCCTGCTCAAGGAGAGGAGAAAGAGCGTTGATGAACTTCTGCTCGTCGTAGTTGGGGTTGCTCTCGGTGTAGTCGGGCTTGGAGGCGAGCTTCCAGCCGTTGTAGTTGGAGACGTTGGTGGCGAGACCTCGGAGGCGAGAAGGCTTGCCAGCGGCCTTGTAGATCTCACCGTAGAGCTTGGCGGCAGGAGGAAGGTTGGCGGGCCATCCGAGCCAGCCACCGTGACCGGCATCGATGTACATGGAGACGTTAGGAAGGTTGAGCTCCTTGAGGGCGTGGATGGTAAGCTCCTTGTAAGCGCTGGCAGCGTTGGCGCACTTGGGAACGTTCAAGTTGGTGACCAGGTTAGCGAGAGAATCGGGCTCTGTAGAGTTGTTAGCAAGAAGGGATTCAACGCTGGTTCTCATGGAGACTTACCAATGACGAGAATGATGCGAGTGTCAGAGTAGTCCTGGAGGATACCCTTGATCTTGGCAATGTAGGCCTTGTACTTGTTCTTGCCGTCCTTGTCAAGAGAGTACTCTCCGTTGGAGGCAGCGGCAGCACAGTCACGGTCGGGAAGATCGTAGACGACGAATTGACCGGCGTAGTTGCCACCAGCCTTGTTGGCCTTGCGGATATCGGCAAGGGAGTCCTCCATGAAAGAGATGTGGTCGTAGGTGTCCCTGTTCAAGTTAGCAAAGATATTCATCTGATGAGCCATATTTCTAAACTTACATCCACTGGAAGGAGGGAACATCGGCAACCTTGGCAGCAGCGGTAGCCATGGCACCGCTCAGCTTGGGGATAGCCAGGGTGCTGACCTCAGAGCGGTAGTAGGCGTTGGCCCACAGATCAACTCCAGAGAAGGGGTTGCCGCTGGCGACGGGAGGAGCAGTAGTAGCAGAGCCTCCAGTTGTAGTGGCAGAGCCGCCAGTGGTGGTGGCCTTGGTAGTGGTGGCGCTGGCAATGGTGCTTGTGGGAGAAGGCTCAGCGGCTCCAGGCTGGCACTGGGAGTAGAAGTCGTTGATCTTGACACACTTGTTGCCGCTGGTACAGCAAGGAGTCCCGCTCCAGTTCTGACCACCACACTGGGCCCTGTTTGCTATGTAAGTGTTTGTTTGCTAAAGCATTGGATCGTAAAAACTTACCAAACTCCGTTGCTGCAAGATTGGCGCTCTTCAACCGGGGCTGCGAGGGCAGTGGCCGCAAAGGCTGCGGCCAGGAAAAGCTTGTAGGCAGTCATGATTGTCGTAGTCGAAGAGTGTCTGAAGATGCTGGACTGTTGACTGGGAATGAGGCGAAAGAGAAGTGATGAATTGAGGTTGAAAGACAGACATTATATACATATCGAAAACTTTGGAGCCTCATCCTTGAACATGGTCCATCGGAAACACGGGATCTCAAATGTCAGGGCAGGGTCCCATTTGGGTCCTTTGACATCCCCTCACTTGGAGGCAACAGAACCCCGCCTCAGACTACTCATGATGTATTTCCGGATAGGATCCAACGAGCTCCGAAAGTCTCCACGATAAACCATAAAGAGGCACATAATGTGGGAATTCTCGGAGTGTCTGCTTTGAGCTTCTACAAGCCCATGTAATTCAGCCTTTTACCCCAACGGACCTTGCCACTGTCCTTCCCGGAACAAATAGCCAATCGAACAAGTCATGTGTCCAGAAATGATCCAAAGCGTGCATTGGAATTATGTAACATCGGGAAGGCTCATCTCGGAGGCCATCCTCCATATAGTTCCTAATTGGGAAACGCGGAGCTACAAACAACTGACTATCGGGCCACGATCCACGGAATAGTTGTCCTGACTTCCGAAACACATTTTCAATCAATAATTAACTTTAATAGAGTTAGAAAAGGGTTTGTGAATGTATTTACAAGCGAGGTGGTCAGCATGTTGTCGAGTTTCGGTTCTCGGGACGTCGGATACCATCTTATTCTGATGCAATCCAAGCGGCACAGGGATACCGAATCAGGATACGTGTGGGTTAAAGTGACCAATCGACTGGAAAGAAGGACATAATTGGCCACAAGGTAAACGGCTTTCACACCGACGACCAATCTCTCAACCCCTCAATTAATGCGGGTGTCTCCCTAATCTGGGAGCCAGTTAGTCATCTTCTTCAACTACCACCGGGGCAAAAACGGCAACCTTCTACCACTTGAACATAGATGACCTTTCTTACTAACCGTTGACATTCAGTCTTACATGATCGCTTCTCTCTGCTCCTCCCATTCCTCTTACCGTCCTTCGTTTCCTGTTTCCTCATCTCGCTCTCCTATATCCTACTACAAGCTATATATCAATACGGCTGTAATCTTCCATCCATATTCACTATCAGTGTGCAGTGAAAGAACATGGTCGGAGCTGTTTTTCATTTAAATAGCTACTCTTCGACATATTCTTCGGCATTATTTCATTTTTGAGCGACTACTTTGCTCCCACGTTGTCGTCTTCAAAAGGCTTGAGGTCTCAAGAAGCTTGTCTAAAGGACCTGGAGTACATTCATCTGAGAAAGGGTCCCGAGGAAGACAACGAAAGTGAGTATCGGTTCCTCTATATCTTCAATAACTACAAGGACCATGCACTCGTCAAACCAGAAATACTTGAATCGACTTACAGATCTCAAGCCGAACTAGGATATGCAGGACGGGGGCGAAACTTGTCAAATAAGTACTGCAGCTCATCGCAGGAAAGGCTGATTATGTTTCGCAGGGATGAATAGGCTGTTGATTTGTTGCTTCATGTGCGAGCCCTTAGCTACTTTCTTCTGATGAGGCCAGACACTGGTCCAAGCTGTCAAGCATATCCTCATGCCTTGCAACACGACATCATCTTTTAAGAAAGCGACTCACTTTCACGGTTTAGCATGGAAGATCATCCGCATCGTGGCTAACCAAGAAGGCTTTGAGTACGGTCTGAGAGTCTCACGTCTACCTAATGTCACCACAGAACGGCTCATTATCGTCACACCGCAGATGCATTTATGGATGGATATGGTATTGTTAAAACTCAAATAGGCAAGTTCCATCTTTATTTTGGTCGCCATTCCAAGTAGGGAAAAATGTCCCCGCCGGGTATTGTTACAAGTAGCAGCAGGTAAACAACCCCATCTATAGTCTTTGCGCCATCCATGGTATCTTTTCAAGCCTCCTTCAGCATTAAGTCATAACCATATCAACCAACAACAAACAAAACTCTCATCAAGTGCGGATCCTAGTGGCGATTTTCTCTCCCATGTTCTGTATGTCCAGGTGGGTTGTCGTCATCCGTATTTGTGTCTGCATACCATGTGGACGGCTGCTGTTTCTTTGTTTCTACCAAAGAAATCTCACTATCCTGGTCACGCGAAGGTAGATTCGTCCGCCCTGACCGAAAAGCACCCGAGCTAGGGACCCTGAGAGTGTTTGGTGCAGACATCAACCGCGACCCGTGTCCATAACCATATGTAGAGCCGACTTGAGAATTGCTAGGCTCCTTGAAGAAGTATCCATATATTGATCTTCCGAGTGCCAGGTTGGCGCCGACGATACCGAGGTAGAGTTCGAGGTTAGACCAGATAGCAGTAACAGCATAGATATCTAAAGAAATTAGAGGCAGGTCGTTGGAGGTAAAGGTAACAAACTTACAACTTAGATCCGAGGTAATTACACCGAGTGATGCTGCTCGGGCAATGCCAAAACCGGTTGCACTCGGACATATTAGCTCCTGGCATATGAGAAGTTGGAGGTAAATATCGACTTACATGAGTCCCAAACTCATCAAAGCCCAGACGGAAAGCTTGGTCTTCATTGGTAGCTTGACGCTCCAGATGACGAAGACGGGCAACAAAGAGCATAGTAGATCTGTGACAATGGAATAGGCTAGATATTGTGTCAGTCAACCATCATGTCTCCATCGCGAAAGCGTAGAGTACGAACCAATAGTGGCGTAGATGTAGTAAATTCGGACTCGCGGATCCCAGCATTCGCCCACACCAGTCCAATACGCGCTGGTGGGTTTGCACTCAGCAAGCAGGATGATGATGCAACCGAAATTCGTAACGACCAGACCTGCCATTATCCCCCAAGCGGCATATTTTACCCTTCGCGAATCCTTGATGCGCAACAAAAGCAGCAGAATAGAGATCTTGAGAAGACAAATGCTGGCGAAAAGCAACAGTTGTGCAACCCATCCCAGCATATTATTCCTCACATAGTCCTCCGGGTCAATGTACCATCTATGCCGTCCATTTCCTATAGCGACTTGAGCCACCTGTACGCCGAATCGTGCGATGCCGAGAATCGTGACGGTGACAATAGTGTAGTCGTCGGGGCCTAAGGATCGTAGTGCTGATCTGACCCATATGCGTATGATAGTGGTGATGATCACAAGGGCGAGACATGTGCCAGACACGCCTAGTAGGGCTGGTCCCACGTTGTCGTCGGGAGGTAGCGGGTTTGGTGGTTCCACAGTGGCCATCGTCGAAATACGTATGGGAGGAGGGAGAGAGAAAGAAAAGAAAGGCGAAGAAGGGGGATCAGCGAGATAAGATCTGACTGAAATAATCCTTGGTACGGATAGTGCACGCCATGTTTAAGTAAACTAAACGCCTTAGTTCGTGTGGGGGAAGAAACTGTCACTAACTTGAGACGAACTCACTCGGATTCGGCTACCCGGTGCGACTTGTTTTTTTTTTTTTTACGCGTTAAACAAGG